AAGGAACAAGTTATGTCATGAATTACCCAAGCCCCTTCTGGGTCAATTCATATGAACAGTTTCTCTCATATCTTCATTCTGTTTGCCAAGAATTTCTGGAATCATAATCACAATGTTTTATAACAACTATTATTCCTTCCACTGTCCTCATCTGTGTGGTGTGTTGTGAAAACAAACAATACTCAAAAATGTGTATTATAGGATATGATATGATAGGATTTAATGTCACTGCCTGTGGGTCCTTATTCTGGCTTTGCTAATGAAATGTTTGCTAATAAGACATATTTAGAAAAGAACATCTCTGGCTTTTAACTGAGCTGTCAAGATTAGTGAATAAGTGTCAGTCTGTGAGCCAAATTGGAAAGATATCTAGGTAGGTCTTTGGAAGGTGATAGATGACATGACCCGAAAGCTCTCCAGAGAATAAACTGAGTAAAGCTGGCTAAAGCCTTGAGAAGAGGCAGGTAAGAGCCAAAACATCTCCAATTTGATAGCAAAATAAGACAGAAAATGGTAAAAGTAGAACAGAGGCATTTCACGTCCCAGGCGGATTGGTGGATTTGTGGCTCTCCAACCTTCGAGTGAGAGAGAGGGAGCAAGTCACACCCAAGAGCGAGCCTCAGAAAACCTGCCCTGTACTCTCACTAACGGACGTTTTGTTGTTTTTCATGCTTTTACTTTTCTTGAGATATTGTTCGTTGATGGTTTTATCACCAATATGGTGAAGTTTAGTCATCTTCGCACCTATCGCCCGCTTGTCCACCCTCCTCCTGCTTCCAGAGAAGTCACACTCTTACTTTCACGTCTTTTGGTGTGTGTGATTTGCTGAACTTAATTAGGGTTACCCGCATGAGCACTGGGTGGTTATTAGAGATCATCAGCTATTCATCAGTGGTTATCCCCAAGCAACCATTAACCACCAATAGTCCCTTGGGGAGGTTGGGGCTCCGTGAGCATCACCCCTATGCGAGATGAGATGTGGAAGGCCCAAACTTGTGCAGGTAACCCCAGCTGCAGTGAAGTTGTGAGTGCAAGGGCGGTGTCCTGACCAGACGATGTGGTTTCACAGCGTACCTCCTTGTCTTCCAGTTCTTAAACTTCCTCCTTTCCACCCCTTCCTCCTTAATGTTTCCTGAGCCCAAGGAGGTGGTGGTGACATAGATGTCCTGATGAAAGCTGAGCACTTGACCATCATTCGTTCATGAAACTTTGACCGGTTATGAGTCTCTGCACTAACCACTGCCCACAGCTACAATAATCATCTCTTACCAAGGCTGAAGGCACCACACTAATCTGTGGGTGTAATAGGAGTGTTTCGAAGGCAGTTTAACGGTATGCCAATTTAGCATCACAACGGTGATAGGCTCCCCTTGAAGGCCTATGACTTACCCGGCCCACGGTTCTTGACTAAATTTGCAGTATCAAGCATGGGTTCCTTTCCATGAAACAGGCCTTAGATCCAGACAGAACGTAGCTGGTTGTTCCCACCATGATCATGCTACTGCTGTACCAATAGGTACATGTTGGCAGGGAGGCCAATACTCTAGTCTGCAAATTTCAAAGCTAGGTAAGATTATTAGTGGCTTTTCTCCTCCAGTAGCCTGCATAGCACCTTCTAGACTGTGAGAGCTAGCCGGCAGAGAGGAGGCTTTCAGCTCAGTCCCAGCTTGATTTCTCTGTGTTCTGTATCCAAAGTGTGTGGTTGATGTCTTTAGCACTAGGTCTTACCATCAAATCCTGGTGGGGGGCCAAGAACAGTGGTGAAGCTGTTCTGTTTTGAGAGCCTCTGGGCCCCTTGACCTCCCTGACCTCAACAACTGTCAAGGTATCTTACAGTTGGCATTGAAAGACTCATTTAATAACCTATGACTTCTGAAGGAAGCATTGCCTCCCCAATACAAGGTACCTCTGTTCAGAGTCTAATTATTACATTTTAAATGAACTTATGAAATGGTAAAGTTTCCAATATTTACTTTTGGTTTTCCCCCATCTACCATTCCCTTCCACCCACTCCACCCTCCCACACTTAGACCATTCCATCCTCTGCCTCCCAGGGTCTACTTTCATTTTGCACTTGTAATAGAAATATTAAAAAGAAAAGTTGTGCTCTGTATTGACATAGATAGAAGAAATGCCAGGTAAACTCTTGACCAGAGCAATGGTGAGACACCATTTCCAAAACACCCTGAGTTAGCAGCTTGGGAGTCCCAGACTGGCCAGGAAGTTCATTTTCAGGAAACAAAAGCAAGTATTGACTAAGAGTATTCAAAAGCCTGGTGCGTAGAACCCCATAGATTGTGGGAAAGAAGCGTATACAGTATCAGTAAGGGAATGGGAACAAAGATCCAAATGGCCCAGCAAACGTTGGAAAGGACTGTCCAGGGCACTTCCCATAGATGAGGCCAGCATCTCTGACCCAGTCTCACAAAGAACCACTCAGTGGTGTAACAGGCATCTGGGACCCCCGGAAAGAACACCAAGAAAGTGGAGAGTGGAAGGGCAGGGCCTCATTCACGCTCACAAATATACCTACACCATGCTCCCCTTCACGTGAGTTTCTCCCTCACTGAACACCTAGTATCTATGCTGGAGGCTAGATCTGTCCTGCTGTCTTCTCTCTCTTGTTCTCACTGTCATTTCTTCTCTGGCGCTCTCTCTCTCTCTCTCTCTCTCTCTCTCTCTCTCTCTCTCACACACACACACACACACACACACACACACACACCTTCTGGATCTTACACACACACACACACCTCTTTTTTTAATCCTTATTTTTGTTTTGTTTTCATGGACATTCCCAAAGAACATAGGCTGACCTATTCTTTGCAGGGTCTTTGTGGCCCAGACTTCTAAGACATGGAGTTCTTTTTGGCAATCGGATTACATTACTTTCCCTTTCCCTTTCTTTTTTCACTCTACCTTTAGCCAAAATTGCCTCATTCCCCACTCCAACCCCTGCCCATATTGTTCCCCCATTCTATTTAGTTTTACATCCTCTCCTTTTTTTCCCTCAATCCAATATGAATCACAAGTCACTCTATTCTTTTCCCTTCTACTCATATCCGTAGGACTTAATATCTTAGTGATTCTGTTCTATTAGTATTAGTTTACTTCTTACAATGAGTGGAGAGTAATAGGTGATCATTTGTCACTTGGCTATTACCATATGTTCTTGGTAGGCTTTCACTCTGATAGCAGTCATTTTTCTTTTGTCAAGAGAGTTTCTACTTTCAGGGGAGTACTGAGGCCTAGTCTGATGCCCCAGTGTCAACCAAGCAGAGGAAAAAAAATACCACCCCAACCTTATTACAACCCATTCACTCTTGACCATTTTGAATATTCTTGTTTTAAAAAAGTCCTATTTTTAAAAAATTCCAACCAGCAACCTAACTTGGATGATCCAGCCTCAATACAACAACACAAAAGTACGAGAAACCAAGACAACATAGCTCAGTGCTCCGAGGAAAGCAGAGGAGGTAGGAGATTGCGGCGGCTGCTGAAAGATGAGGAAGAGGCAAGATGCTCGCTAAAGGAGGAGTCTGAAACCTGGGGCTGCCTGTCCCAGTGCTGCGCGTCCCGGTGCTGCGCGTCCTGGTGCTCCGTGTCACGGTGCCATGGTCGCGCTCCTCCGAAGCTGTGAAGCAAGGGACAGAAGCGAGCAAAGTTCACATTCTAGGACACACCGGGATTCGTGCTTCCATTTTCCAGCTCTGGCTTCTCCTTGCTCTTCCCCTGCCCCCCACAGCGCTACTCTCGTGGATTTTCTCCTGCCTTCTGGTTTTATATCAAATTAAACCAGAATTTATCAAGCATCACTCCTACCCACTGGTCCTAAGGACGCATGCTGGGCAGTCTCCACTCGTCCCTCCGTCACACCTTCCATCTTCTTTTCCTATCATCTCCCCATTTGTATCTTGAAGGTGTAGCTCTTGTAAACTAGAGACTTCAGCCTTGAGTTTGTCTTATCTGTTTTAGTAGTCTTTCCTTTTAATTAAATGTTTTGTCTATTTATACTTAGTGCAAGTATTAGTATAGTCGGATTTAGGTCTGGTATTTACTGCTTGATTGTTATTTTTGGTGGTTTTTTTGCCATTTTTCCTTTTACTTAAAAAACATTAGATTTTTTTTTAAATAATTTACTTTTAGTAATGCCACCCACTGTTGAACTTTTAAGCACTCTTATCTGCATTTTTTCCTTTGTATTTTCTCTTTATCAACCTTTGGGCACACCTCTAATGAAGTGTTTGAATCTTTCTAAACTTTTTTGGAGATTGTCTCACTATGTAGCACTGGTTGGCCCGGAACTCACTATGTAGGTCAGGCTGGCCTCCAACTCACAGAGATTCCCCTGCCTCTGCCTCCCAATGACCAAAATTAATGTCATTCAGCACCATTCCTGGTTTATCTTCCTACTTTTTATTGATATGGAGGATATATATCTCTATAGATACAAACATTGTAAATATCTTCTCCCACTCTTATGACTGGTTCTTGTATTCCCATAGCAGTTTCTTTTGGTTAAAATACTTTTCTTTGGATTTACTTTTAATGTTATTCATGCATATGTGTATGTCTCCGTATGTGAGTATGTCATGTGTGCAAGTGGTCTCTGAGGCCAGAGGAAGATGTCAGATCCCCTGAATCTCCCTATGTCAATCCTGGGACTCAGGTCCTCTGGAAGAGTAGCAAGTGATGCTAACCACTAGGCCATCTCTCCAGCTCCAAAAGAAGTCTTTGATATTGTTGTCACAGGCCTACACTATAATTTCTCAACTGTTAAATAGGATTTGTGGGAGAATTTCATTCACAGGGTTTATGTGAAGAATAAAAAAGACAGTGTGTGTACTCTTCGCATAGTGACTGGCATTTAGAAAAGCTTATTAAATTTACTATTCTCTCCCTACCATCCTCCCTGCCCCCATCTAACCGATTTCCTGTTTCTGAGTCTCTTAGATGTTACCAGTAACATCTGTCATCTACTAGTGCACGTGAAGGGACCCACAGACCTCAAAGCTTCAGGATCTCCGCAACACAGGGCAATAGCAGAATAACCAAGAGGAGTTCCAGTGGGAGCCCAGCACCAATAGTGTAACAGAAGCCAGAAGCCTCAAACCAGATCAATGAACACTTACAAGTAAAGACATGTGGAAAAGGGCTTACTGTGTGACTCACTGTGTCACACTGCAGCTTCCGTGACGAGACTGGTTATTTTTCCTTCTCTTTCTTTTTTTCTCTTTCTCTTTCTTTCTTTCTTTCTTTCTTCTCTTAAATTTTATTTTATTCTTTTTTGGGAGGGGCGGTGGGTTGCAAGGCCAGAGGGTGGATATGAAGGGACAGAGAAATAAATGGGATAGATGTGCATGATGTGAAAGATGAAATAAAAAGAAAGAAAAAAATCCCCCCAAAGTAGTAACAGGTAAAGTAAGAAAAACATACCATTTCTAATTAAAAATTCCTACAAAGCGTGTGATTCCTTACCTGTAACAGAAAATAAGAATCTTGTCAATCATTTTTTCCTTGCTTTTGGAAATCTATTACTGTGACTTAGATGACTCACGCTAACGTGACTCCTCCTACCTCATTTAAATCCTAGCTGGAGGCTAGAGAAGTCTGATGCCTTAGGGTGAATGTGGGTCCTCTGAGTGACTGACAACCTGACGTCGATATGGCTGGTTTCTCCACATTCATCATCTTTACCTCTGTGCTCTGTCAGATCCCAGGTGAGTCTAACCCTCTCTTGTCCCAGTCTCCTGACCTCCTCATCCCGAGATGTCATCCCAGGCTCCTGAGTCTACTCTGGAGCCTCTGCTTCATTTGGCTTTGTAATTAGCCACTGATATCTGGAAAGAGAAGAAAAGAAGCAGCTCTTGGAACTAAGTCCCTTCTGCCTACCCCAGGGAAGGAGAGACAGAAAGAATTGGGTTTTAGAGACCTATGTCCTGATCCAGCTCAGCCAGGAGTTAAATGGAGTACGATAAATCTACCCTGGACTTCAGGGTCTCTCTCTTTTAGGGTCTCTCTCTTTTAGCCTTCCCTCCTTTTGAGAACAACTTTAGAAGTAAAGTTATACAGCTGTGTATTCATTCATAAATGTATTTTAATTAATACATGTCTAAATAGATTTATTGATGGTGCATAAGAATGAGATCAAACAATGGAAGCAACTTTGAATTTGTTCTCTCTTAACCCAAGCAACCCAATCTGCCTCTACTTAGAAAATTAATTAATTATAGGTGCTCTATGTTCACTCACATGAAGTACTGTGTGTCTGCATGATCCTGTCGTAGGTATGATGATAATGAAAGATTTTACTATACCAGTGTTCTCTGACACATGGGGTACCACCAGGAGGGCTCTCTCTCTCTCTCTCTCTCTCTCTCTCTCTCATCTTCATAGCTGTCATATCTGTACACAATAAACCTACCTAAAATAACTCTCAAGCCACACAGTGTTCTCAATCCTTTCCTTCTCATACCAGACCAAAATAAGTGACTCAAATCTACAGTCTGTCATGCCTCCTTGAATTCATCAAACCTTGCATTGCTAGGAAGCACCTGGCCCTAAGTAGGTTGCCCTAAAAACAGACTTGTTTCTAAAATACTACCTGAACGGAAATGGTGATCAGAACTAGAATTTAAAGAGGAGGTGGGGGAGGGCATGCCAGGGCTTTGAAAAGCCCAGGTGCTCACCTGAAACATCTGTAGTGCCATAGGTATGTAACCTGAGTCTCCTACTATTCTACTCCAGTAGGCTGTGGGAAGTCTGGGGTTACGTCTCCTATGAATGAAAAGGGTCAGAGATTGCCCTAGAACCCCCCAAAGACAGAGCAGTGGACGCAGTACAGACCCCGGATGCAAGTTTCCTAGTTTAACTTTGTACTGGATTGCTGTGAGCGAGCATCTTTGTGGTTTGAACTTTGCTTTTCTGTGCATAACAGATAGATAAAACTAACTTGCAGAATTTCTGCAATGTTTTAAAGTGCAATATCAAAAGCAAATCGGTTCAGTAATAGTGGCCATTTAAGTTCCTTATACCCCAAGGTACTTTGGGGGCCATCTTCTTACAAACCTATAAGACAGGGACTTAAAGATAAGGAAGCAGACTGGGAGAGGTCGAGTTTCTTAGGGCAAGATCATGCAGTGATTACAAGGGAAAGGAGGAATGGAGTGTCCACAGCTGGCGCTGTCTCCCACACACCAAGCTCTAACCAACAGCTTCAGGTGTCAACCTGACCCTGGAAAGGTGTTCAGGAAAAATGCATTTGAACTGAGTCCCCCGCAGCAAGAGCCAGATGTCATTTCTTCCTTCTCCAGGTACAGGAGCCCAAATCAGGGACTGGAAAGACCGTCAACAAACAGGTCGCACTGTTTGGGGGGCGTGGTGATACCAATGGGATGCCACTCTGGACAAGACAGGAGCGGTGAGGCTAGCTCTCGCAGTCTTTCTGTTCTCACCAGGGTAAGGGGGGCAGCAGTCTGTTCCTCTGAGTATTTCGTAATGGTCTAGTAATACAATGGCTTTAAGGAAAACAAAGATGAGAGGGGTATGGGGGATGGCTGCAAAGAACCAGAAGAAAGACAGAGAAGAGAGCAGGAGACAAACAAGAGGTAAAGAAGCAAATGAGGCAGCCTGGATGTGTCAGGGTGTGAGGGACTGGAAAGTGTGTGAGTTCTGTTGTGTGTGTACCCCATGGTACTGATTTACAATGCAATTTTCAGGGGACATTAGAAAAGAAGTTAGCTAAAGGACCACTCATTTCAAACCACTTGGTTTTTTTGTTTGTTTGTTTTGTTATGGAAGCAGTGTTTTTCACTTATGAACAGAAACATGTAAGTGATTCCACCTTTGGTTGTAGCAGTGAGGAAGCCCCAAAAGCCTTGGCCCTCTGTTCTTTGCCCCTCCCCCTAAGCTCCCCAGAAAGACAGGTTTTTGAGACTCCAGCTGTAGGAAGAGGTACAGGGGAAAATTTTTGCCTTTAGTGCCTTGGTTCGTGGCCTCCCACATCATCCTGAGTCTAGTCACCCTGTCTGGGAAATAGAATGGAATGAGACTAATTATTACCCCCTGAAGATTCCTCCAGGTCTGAGGAGGACTGTCCAATGTGCTGGTGTGTTTGTGGCATTGTCAAGGGCTAGGCTGACAGGCAATTGGAGCTATGCCAGGCCTCTCCCCTGTGTTTTCTTCCTGGGCTGCCTGCTCTGCTGGGGCTGGGGCTGCTTCCTGCTATGTTTGACCCTTTCCTGGGGAAGAGAGAGAAGTGAAACTATGAAAGGGCGCGACATGAAAGTGTCTCAGAGCTGATGCTGCTCCTGACACAAAGACGGAGGGGCAGAAGGCAGATAGCCTCCTGGTCCAGATAGCCTCCTGGTCCAGATAGCCTCCT